TCCTTCACCTCGTATTCGTCTGTGTGAAGCAATACAAAACTATTAGTTAAAGCATGTTTTGGTGGTCGATATAAAGGATCAGGCTGTATATTATTTGCTAGCCTTTCACCTACTTTTATAAATGAATCATTTAGATAATTGGCTATGTTCTTCGGATTTGTTATTCTTTTTCCATTTTCGTCTTCTAGGTAGTCTATACTTTTGTGTTTTCTTTTAGTGTTACCTATTTCATTTACAATTTTCCAAAGTTGTGTAGCATTAGATTGATTATTATTAATCTGCGACTGATAATAGTCAAATTTGCATTTCCTTATTAGGTGATTTACAAGATTTCTTTGTACATTATATCTTTGTTTTAGGATGAGATCATTAGGGTTATCCTTGGATTGTTTAAATAGTTTATTTTTTTTATTAACAGGTTTTATAAGACCGTTTGTTATCCATGGTGTAATTTTTGTGTCTCTTCTCTTGCATGTTTTATATGTCGTGCTGTCTTGTAGTGCTTTGTTTAAAATGTTAATCAATGCATCTGTTTCAGAGTCCACACTAGAAGTGTTGTAAATAGATTCCCAAGGGATTTTATCAAGTGCTTCGTATAGTTTGTCATATTTGATGTAGTCCTTCTGTACCGGACGTTGTGCTTGAGAAGGAGTGAGTTTATGGACAATTTGTAAGGCGGTGGAATAATGATCGGTAATATTTGTCTTTATAATTAATGGCAATATTTGATCTGCTATTGTTGTCATTTTAAACCTTATAAAAATATGATCAAGACATGTTTTTGTATTGCCCTGTACCCTCGTTGGACTATTTATTAGAGATGTATAATCATATTCATTCATAATATTAAGATATTCATTAACATGATGGTCATCTGCTAGTAAGTCAATATTAATATCGCCCAAGAAAATATTAACGAGATCATTATTTTTATCGTTATCTTGTAGATATTCCTGCAGATGTTCATTGAATTCGATAGCAGACAATGACGGCGATCTATAATAAGCTGTGATTTTATAGTTTGTGTTTTTAGAATTTTTTTTTTGTGGATGAAGAAAAAAATATAATTTGGTCTGCATCAAGATTGAACCTTGAGTCCAAAGTTTTGGTTATAATTGGCTGCAATAAATGACCTAAATAACTCGTTTCATAATTTTATTAATTTTTTGGGATTCGTATCAAACGTGGACTCATGCAATAAAACCTAGAGAACCTATCTAAAGAAACTCGTTATTTAATAATATTATACTATTTCAGTCATTATTGGATGGTTAGTGTATTTTTAAAATTACTTAGAATTTCATATACTAGCATGACCGTAATATATACGAAAATATTTAAGAAAAAAGTATTGTGTAATATTAATTTACGTTACAACACCGGAAAGTAGTGTTTTGCAGGTTAAGACAAGCAGATTCCAGGGAGAGCCGTAGGCGAGACCTGGAAGCTTAACACTAATTTTCGGTCGCGTGACGTACAATATTTTTTTAAGACCGACACTTCGATGTAAACACAATTATTTATTTTATTAAATATGGTGATAAACGAATACTAAAACTAGATAATGGATACAACTGCATAAACTAACCAAATTTTTATTTTCAATGTCAGATAATTCAAAATCTGAAACCAAACAGCGATCGGAAAAATGAAAAACAGGGACCGGTAATAGTAATTTACGTTACAAGACCGGAAAGTAGTCTTTTGCAGATCGAGAGAAATAGATTCCAGGACGAGCCGTAGGCGAGACCTGGAAGCTTGGAGAGACCTGCTTAACACTAATTTTCGGTCGCGTGACGTACACTATTTTTTTAAGACCGACACTTCGATATAAACTCATTTATTTGATTTAATAAGTTATTAACAAATACTAAAACTAGATAATGGATACAACTGCATAAAGTAAACAAATACATTATTTTCTATGTCAGATAATTCAAAATCTGAATCCACAATTATAAATTTGCGAAAACAAGTTTGACATAAACAACAAATTAAAAATTAACGAACTGTCACTTGGCAATAAATCAGAACGTTGTTACCATAGTAACGAAATCAAGGCATACTGTATTATCAAACAGCGATCAAAAAAATGAAACACAGGGACCGGAAAAATGAAAAACAGGAATCGGTAAAAGCTTGTACCGGTCCCTAACGACTATTTTCCGGTCTTAATCGGGAAAACGTTACTTCTTGGACGAAAAATTATTCAGAAAGTGTATATTTTCTGATCAGTCAAAAAAAAGCTTTTGCCGTTCCCTAACGTCTACTTTCTGGTCTTGATCGGCAAAACGTTATTTTCTGGATGAAAAATTGTCAGAAAGTGTATATTTTCTGGTCGGTCTTAAAAAAAAAGTAAAAGCTCCTTGGTAGGTATGTACGTATCGCAAGTCTTCATCAAGACCTTGGAATTTCAACGTTGGTAGAATCTTCACTCACATATTAACCCAGAAGTTCTTCAGCTGTTGGAATAACGCCATGGCCGATGATTGAACCATAGACCCCATTGACTATAGACAGTTCTTTGCGTGTAAGCAGAGAACACTCCGCGGTATACCGGGTGTTTTATTTCAAGTAAAAAGAGCCAGTAGATGTTATAGCGAACTGGTTTGAATTCCACCTCATCCTCGGTATGGTCTCGGACTCGCTAGTTCCTCGACAGCACATAGAAAAGCCATACAGCGTCCTCATTCCAGAGAGAGACGCATGGAGCAGAGGGGAAAAACCGTCTCACAGGCAGACTATGCGCTGTATACGGACCGCTTCAAAACTGAAAAAGGAGTAGGAGCGGGAGTTTTCGGCTAGAGGCCTAGAGTTGGCATATCAATAAACCTAGGCTCTCTGGCCAAGATCTTCCAAGCAGAAATGATTGATATAGAATTGGGAACGAGAGAGTTGATTAATTTTCTCCCCGCAAACAAGAATATAAAGATCTTTTCAGATAGCCTGGCAGCCCTTAAGGCCCTGAGTTCCAATCGAGTTGACTCAAAGCTGGTTTGGAAGTGTATAAATACCCTAGAATGCCTCGGTGCCCGGAACAAAGTTACTTTGATCTGGGTTCCAGGACACAGTAGTGTGGAGGGCAACGAAAAAGCCGACGCACTTGCTAAAAGAGGAACCGAATCTGAGACCAGAACCATTCCTGGGCATTGCAAAAAATACTGCCAAAGGAATTATCTCAAAATGGACGAAGGGTGCAACACTTACGAACTGGAGAGATGCCCCAAGGCTAACACATTCGAAGGCGTTTATAATCAACCCTTCTATGAACGCCTCTGCTCAGATCCGAGAATGGGGTAGGAAAGATCTACGCATTTTCACTGGACTGATGACAGGGCACTGCCGTCTGGGCAACCGCATGTGAAGGATAGGTCTGCAACAAACATCGGACTCTCGATTCTGCAGCGTGGAGGACGAGTCTGCAGAGCACATTTTATGTACCTGCTCCGCTCCGGAAAGAACCAGGTTCCAGATCTTCGGATTTATCCGACTGGAGCCTACCGACTTTAAACAAGTCTCACCCAATTCAACCATGACCTTCACAAAAAGTGTAGCTTGTACGGTGAACTATAAGTTACGTCATGAGCCAAAATAGACCCATCTGGGTCGCAGTGGAAGGCGATGAGATCATACCACTCATTTTCAACCTAACCTACCACGGTACTTTGTGAGCCGATTCCAAGCCGCACAGGTTAGGAAAATTTGTTTCTTTTTGGTTTTTCTCATGTTTTATATAATTATTTTGCGAAGCATCCCGTAATAGCTCCAGGTCGCACGGATTAGGTAAATTGGTTACCTTTTTTTGAAATTTTCTTATTTTATGTATATTTTTTGCGAAGCAACCCGTCATGGCAGATAGGAATGTTTTTAACTATATTTTATAAGCAATAATATTTAAGTATTGAAGTAATAGTATTTAAGTATACATCTGCATTTTGTCTTTGATTTTGGTTTAATAAAGAAAGTTGTAGCACTTATAGAATATTATATTTTATTTTACCTGCTTTTTTCAAGATTAAGTTTCTCCGAATTGAAGCTGAATTCCAAGACAATAAAATACTTCGAAACGAGTCACAGTCTACCATCATCGAGCAAACGAAGGAAAATGTATATTAATATAGACTACACAATCAAACTTATTAAAATTTAACGGTAATATTAACAAATGTTAAAGAACTTTAAGCTATTTCCAATTTTTCTAATGATTTAATTTAGAAAAATTTTAAAATTGTTTCATATTCTTTTTTTGTAAAATATTTTTGTTTGAAATTTATATATTTAGTTAAAATTATAATGCTGCAACATTATTATAATTAATAAATACCATTAAAACATTTCGAATTATTAAGAAAAGACACGCACGAGCGTGTTACGTCACATCTCCTCCCTCTGTTGCTATCATCACAAAGGTTCTGCTTAATTGAGCCGAGACCTTCGAAGTAAACCTTACATCTGTGCTCCTTCGGAAATATGTTCATGTGTTCAAGGAGAGCAATGCTTTAATGTAAAATATGTTAATCGCGCAATCAGGTTATTGAGAGATCAAACTGATCTTGTTCCTCAAAAAAAGATACAAATATCCATAGGAATCGAATTAAAAAAGTGTTAGACTGATAACAAAACCAAGTCATGGTTTATTAAAGCGTAGAACATCTAGCCCACACTGGCACTGTCTATCAAGAGGTTTCTGACAAGTATTTATTAGAACATGCACCCTAATATCACCGGATGTCGTCTCATGTCACTATTATTTATTACCCAAAATCAAATGAGCACTGAACCAAATTTGAGACAGTTGAGCTTTGTCCAATCGAAAATTTAGCATTTACCTGTGTAAAGATTGCGATGAGAAGTATTTTTAAGGCGATAATGTAAAAATTGTGGCAGTAAAGTACATAATAAGTAAAGGATTTTATAGCAGTAATCCGTTTTTTTTTTCTAGCCTCATCTCGTATATTCCATTCGATAATTTAAAACTATTTTAATTAAAAAATACGTACACAAGTTCCCGAACAGACGTTATATCCTGGCGGTTTAGTAATAGCATCGGTCAGTGGTGTAGATGGAGTCTTCGATGACGTGGTGGCCGTGTCTAACAAAGGAGGTTGCTCGCCATCTCCTACATGTTGGTGAGAACCCGGACAACATAGCCAGGATCTTCTGGGCAGATCTCCTGTGTAGGGTTCGTCGTACGTTCGTTCCTCTGCCAGGCGTTCGTTTTTGCTGATGGTATATAAATGGCCGAAACTAAGGTCCCTATAGGAGATTACGGCGTTGATTGGCTTATTGGAAAATATGAGGAATGAAAATATTGAAATGCTTTTGTAATTTTAGAGTATTCTAACTTTTAAAAAAATATTAACATTTATGTATACACACCAGTCATGCGGTAAAGAAAAAATAGAAGAGTAGATGAATGCGTTGATGCGTACATTGAAAACTTAATACATTTCAGACGATCTGTGGAAGTGTCTGCATGCGTCTGAGGAATCATGATGCTGTATTGTGGTTTGTTAAAGAATTAAAAATATTCTGAAACGCGACGTTGGATTCGAAATCTTATATTCATCTTAATAATTTGAAAATCTTTGACTATGTCAGTGATAGCTTAATTGGAAGAGCGACTATGCGTAGTAAGTAGGTTCGAATTTCCCAAGGCAGAATTTTTTCAATTTTTCATTAAATTTGTTTTCACCTTGAGGGTTTTAATTTTCATTATTTCGTAGTAGTAATATTGGGATTTCCTGGGAATTTATACTAAATTTATAGTTTAGAATGTACTTATTAAACATTCAAGAACCAGTTCTTATAGTTCAAAATGTGTTCCATCTAATTCCTGACAATAAAACATCCTATTGCTAAACTCGTACTGATTCAAATGTGTTAGCAGAAATTCTTCTACATTCTTCAACAATCGTTTCTTTAAAGCGTCAATACTGTCAGGAACTGTAGCATACCTTAAATTTAAGGTACCATACAGAAAAAATCTAAAGGTGTTAAGTCCGGTGACCGAGCTGGCAATTAAATCGTACCTCGTCATCCAATCCATTTATCACGATATTTCTCTAATAGATAACGTCTTACTTCATCATAATAGTGTACAGGAGCACCACCTTAGAATGTTATTTCCAAGTTACCTAATTCATCTGAATTGATTTTCAAAATGTCAAAATTTAACTGCTAAGTTGCATCTTGTAATATCTCTAAATACATTACAAGTCAGATGTCATCTGAAAGTTGATGCACCATTTTTAATGTGTAAAATTTGTTGTTCTATAAGTTTAACGTTACCAGTTTTGTTAAATTTGAATGATTTCCAAGGTGATTAGTTTTTCGAATAAAACTTATGTGATTTTTTAAATAGATCTAATTTCTTATTGCAGGTTTCATCCGGCAAGTGATCCTTGTTGTCTTATAATAACTAATTTTAGGAATTTATTTACTAATGTTATATTATGATAATAAATATCAATTAAAAATACATTTTGTTTTATTTTGTAATGTTTTGATATCACAATTCTTATTAATTTCAAAGCCTTTTTCTATTTGGCTGAATACGATCCTGACAACTGTCAAAATTTTGTAGAGTCGCCATCAAATTTCAGTAATCTGTAATCAAATACATGCCGAAAACATGATATTACGTCATATTTGGTGACGTGCAACTGAAAGGCTATGCAATGAACTATAACAAAAATCTTGTAGGTATTGATCACAAATAAATTATGAATTTAGGCTGAACTGAATTTACGAAGCTTTCTGACTGACGTACCTATCCACCTTTTCCCCTTAAGATCACTAGGACTAAGATATACGACCATATTTAATTTTTTTTTAATTTTAATTAAAAGTTAGCTTTAATAGTAAAGGATAACAAAAACTAGGCTTCTATATAAATCATTGCGAAATGCGAAGCTGTACTTAACATTATCAAAAGATCTACAAAGATCTAATGCCATAAGCATTTTATTAAAAAGGAAGTTAATTAAAAAAGCGCTCCTTTCATTAAGGCAACAACAAGAACAAAGGGACCCATTGTCTAACGACTTCTTTCAGTATTTTTTCTTCGACTTAAATGTGTATTTGTGCGCTTGAAAATCAATTATTACAAAAGCTATTCAATCTACGAACCATTCGAATTTCAGTTAAATTGGTTTTGGAAAACATATAAAGGGTCTTGATAAACGGTATTCTACGTAACCGTATGTTTATAAAGATTCATTTATTCAGTGCATTCAAAATAACAAATAATATAGAATCGTCTTAAAACTGTAAAGTATACAATCTGAATGTATTAATAATAATTCGTAGATATTTAAATTATAAAAAATAAGGCTGATGATATATTAAATTTATTTTTTATACAGGGTGTGTCAGAGTGAAAAGTACATGCGTTAACTGTAGGTGTGGGTCATTTGTATTTGAAAAATAAAGCACTAAGCACCAAATACTTATGGAGAAGTATTTGAAATCCTTGAATCATTCAAAAGTATTTGAAGCACTTTAAGAGACTTTGATCCATCAAGGCGTGCTTTTTGGCGAATTTATTTTAGAAACGGCCCGACCGCTTTGTAACGTTGACCGGGCCGTATAAACTGGCATGGCTGATATTATTCGTCTAATGCTAAGTATCTGTAGTTTTCACATGCACTTGTGTAAAAGCGTATTACAAAGTGTTCGATATACAGGGTGGCTATTTTTATATTAAACCAGTATTGCTATGTCGAAAACCGTAATAGTGACAAAGTCGGTTAAATGGGAAAAGTTGTACTATTGCAAGACTAATTTAGTGATGTTTTAAAACCGAAAACATCAGGACAGGTTTTCAAGATATTTAAGGAAAATCAAATGACTCTATTTTCGATTGTAGTGCCTTTATTTTACAAATTAGATAAAAATTGTAATTAGATTTTTTATTTGATATTAAGTAGTGCTTAATTTATCGTCGACAGATTTTTTATACAACGTTTCACCACCATCAAGTATATTTTTTTGAATACGGAACTGAATTTTTTATTCTATTTTAAAAAAGTACTTTTAATCCTAAATTCAACCATGTAATACACATTAGTAGTTTAGGACGTTTTGATACTTTTTATTATTGCTATTGTGGGGTTACTATAAATTTTATTGTTTTAATAGAGACCTGTATTTTTTATTATGCTTTTTTACTTAGATTACTGCCAAAATTACACTCCTAAAATTATTTTTAAATTAATCGCCGTTTCGTTACATTTGCTTCCTCTTTACCAGAAATTTAATAGCAATCGTACCTGAGCCGTACCTGTTGTGTTAAAGAGGGCAGAGGGCTGGCGGTTAATGAGGCGTAATTTTTTTCTATTTAACATACCGTAGTTCACCAAGGTAGTTTTGTCTATCCAAAGAATATTATTGTAGACTGGTCTATCACTATTTAGGCGAATAACAAATAAAACAAATAGTTTTAGAGCAGAAAGTCAAAGTTGGCTTGAAAGCCGCCCCCCAACCGTCAGGCATAGGGCTTGATACCCGATATCTAGCGAATCCGCTGCCAAGAGAACCCATCTCATCTCCGCACTGCAAAAATGAGCGGGGAAGAAGACCGTTGCACTTGTTTTTATTTTGTTCCCAAAAGTTTTACATAGTGATTTACATTGTTTTATGTTTATATTTACAGATGTTTACAATTCCCAACATGGGTTATTGTTTAACTTAAGACTAGAAAAATAAAGAAAATTATAATGTTTAGTGAAATTGAAATTAAATTAAATTTTGAATGATTTTATCTTATATCTTATATGTACATTTATGCGTATTCCCCTTTTTAACATTCGGGTTTATTATTTGTGATGTAGCTTGATCATAGAACCCAGGTCATCAAACCGCAATTTGGTTTTCCGCGATCAGTCCTCTATGTCTTCGTCTTGTACCATTTTGTCTGCTCACTCGTTGGTCCAGGTGTTGTGGTAAGTAGGCTTGTCCTTTGTCTTGCAGTTTTTGTCTCAGTAAGGACCTGGCTGTTTGTCTGTCGAGTCCGTTACAGTCGTATATAATATGTCTGGTGTCTTCGGTTTCGTCGTCGATGTCGTATGTTCCGCCTGTGTCTCGAAATCGAAATCTATATAGGTATTCGTTCATGTTCCCGTGACCTGTTAGTAGTTGTATTGTTTTCCTTTTTAGTTGTAAATATTTGTGTCGTACCGTCGCACACTGGGGCAACAAGCCCTCAAAGTTGGCAATAAATCAAAAAATTAAATAGCATATACACTCTACCTCAAATTTTTTTCTGATATATTACTGTCCATTACATAATAAAACGAACAAGTGCGATCTTCTGTCTTACGCGTTTCATCACCACCCTCAGTCGAAGTTACTTATCTGAGGCGAGTATATATTCATTAGAATTTCGTAGTTTTTAACTTGTTTTTGTGCTGTGTTTAGGCTGTATTTTGATTTTGTTTTTCAAATTTCCGCCACGGAACCTTCAAGTTCAGCTATGTATTATTATTTTAATAAGTAAAAAGTTGTGGAAAAATAAACTTAATCATATAATATTGGGGTAAAGTAAAATGAAGGTTAAACGTTAAAATTTTAAAATATTCTTAAATACATGAAGGCTATTTGTTGTGTTCCAAAGCAGATCAAGCATTAAATTTCGACTTTTCATAATGAACATTGTTTGTACTTTTCGAAATCGTTTAGTTTATGTGCACTTATTTGCACTTTTCTTTACTATTTGGGTTTTTTCAAAGTATATAAATATATGGCGGGACGATCATTCAAAATAGAATTCTGTTTTTTTAATATATTTCGTGTATTAATATATCGATTTTATTGTCCTTAGGCTCATTTTATAGGCAACTAAATATGCTCCCAGACAGACATAACAAAATGCTAGAAATGAAAAAAATTTAAGATGGCCGACCTAATTGAAGAAAAAAAAGCGAGCCATTTTAAGCTTATTTTGCGTAATAGTTATAAATTATATATAAAATCTAATAACAAAAGTTAAATATCTAACCTATTTTCTTTATTTTAAGACCTCTCCGAGCACGATTGGTCCATTCAATCGTCAGATATAGACAATCAAAGTTGTCTGGTTTTTATGTTTTCATAGAAGCCTATAATAACACATTATTATGCTTTGCAACGCTGCTATTTTAGTTTTTGACCGATTTGGACTCAATGTTTTTATCGAGAAAGAAACTTCTTAATATCATGAGAAGTTCTGGAAAGAATGAAATTAATAGAATTTGCTCACAACACCGTTAGATACTTTGTTGAAAAGTACCCATGCTCAATATGCCTCCGACATTTCACAAATACTTTATACATGGGCCTGAAATAATAGCTTCTACTTTGTTGCCTAGAGACCAATTAACAGAGAAAACTAATGGGGACGTCTTTAATTCGTTTTTACTTAGTTTCGACCTTGTAATCACGAGAAAACAAAAATTAAAAAAGAAAGAACCTGCAGCACTTTCCTAAAGAAGCAGTAGATTTGTTTAAATCTGGACTCGTCCAGCTTCACAGCCATGGTATATTCATGAATCTGATGATGACCGTGGAGACAATGAAGAAAATGTCTTATCATATTCTAAAGAGGATGAAATTTGATTACAATTATCATAGCTCTTCTAAATGAAATTATTATAATATTACATTTTTATTGTTTGTATCTTTAACGTGTGGAGAGTGGATTACCCCCATGGCACTCAGGCCTCATTAGGCTCATGACATTTTTATTATATTATATGTTAGTATTACAAAAGAAAATACATAGAGAGCTTATAAAGTGTTTATTTGCTAAAAAAAAAAAAAAAATAGAAAGATATTAAGAATAGAATATACATTTTTATTATATTATATTCTTAATAACTTTCAATTTTTTTAGCAAACAAACACTTTATATGCCCTCTATGTATTTTCATTTGTAATACTAACACCTCTACAAAGCAATATTTAACTTACAAATTCATAAAGAAAGTCTGTGATTTAATGCCAACTTTGATGGCTTGTTGCCCCTGTGTGGTTATCATGTCGTGGGTAGTTCGTCCTGTGTTTCCGTTGGTCCATGTGTCTTGCCATAGAGTCATTGTTATGTCGTGTCGTTTTTTGCGTATGTCTGTTTTGTCTTTGTATTGTATTGTTTGTGTGTAGTTGTTGTGTGCCTCGTTCGCCAGTTTATGAGCTCGTTTTGTTCCTTCGGTAGATCTGTGTGCATAGCCGTAATGTATGTTGATATTGTGTTGTTTAGCTATGTGTGTTAGTCTCTGTGTCTCTGTTATCAGTTTGTGTCTTGTGTTGCTTTTGTCTAGTGAGGCTATTGTGTTTGTCGAGTCTGCGAAAATTTGTATGTTCTGGTTTGCGTAATATCTGAGGTTATTTGTAATGTATTTTACTGCTTGTGTAATTCCGATAGTCTCTAATGTGTTGATGTCTTTGTCCGTGTCTACTTTTATTTTTATGCCTGTGTGTATGTGGTTATATGTTATTGATAGTGCTAACGTCTTACTGTCATTTTTGATGTTGGCATCCGTGTATATTGTGGTATGGGTCGTTTGTCTGTGTTGTTCTATTGGCAGGTGTCTGTGTGCCGGGTGTGATTTGTCTGTCGTTTTGTTTCTATTTTGTAGTATGTCTTCGTGATAAGTTGTCTGAGTGTGGTGGTTGGCTCCCGCCTCTGCTGCCAGTGGAGGTGCTCCGGCCAGCACTGGCAGTGTCAAGTTAGGTGTGGTTTAGTAAGCTTTTGTTATTCGTAAAAAGAAAGGTCGTTCTGTCGCGTGTAAGTGTCGTGTTATGCGTGTGTCTTTATGTCTATGTCCCCATATTTCAGATTCGTAGAGTATCATTGGCTTTATTCCGTGTTCGTAAATGTACCTTAATATGTCCGATCTGCGTCCCCAGTTTCGTCCCGTTATCGCGTCAAGTTTATTAGAAATGTCTGTGGCTTTTTGTCTTGTCCGTTTTATATGTTCAATCCACGTCAGTTTGCTGTCTATGGTTAGTCCGAGGTATGTTATTGTGTCTTTTATTAGTAATTGTTGGCCGTCTTCTGTTAGTCTCGGTGGTCTAGTCGGTTTGTAAGGAATGAATATTGTCTCTGTTTTTGTCGTATTGTATGTCAGTGTATTTTGTTTTGCCCAAAGTTTGCATTTTTCCCATGTCCTGTCCCATTTATTTGTTTTCTAGTTGTTTAAGTGATCCCCCCCCCTAGCCCAATCGGATTAGGTGAAGAACAGGCTTGAGATTCTGAAAAATTCGAAGAAGCAATTTTCCTTCGGAATTCGTTGGAGGGGGTCTGTGGTAGTCTAAATTCAAAAAGTTGGGATTCCAAAGTTGTCGTTACCTCCGCCAGCTTGATTTAAAGGGTTATTTTTTGTATCTTGAATAACTCATTTATTTTCAATTTTACACGGAAAATAGTTTTTACAAAAGTTATTTATAATTAAATTTCCTACAATTCTGCTTTTTTTTGTACGATCGATTTTTTTCGATTTATACCCGAAAAGAGGGGGTGAATTTTTGGTTATAGAATAACTCGTTTATTTTCAATTTTACGAGAAAAATTGTTATAAACAAAGTTGTTTAAAATTAAATTTCCTACAATTCTGTTTTTTTTTTGTACGCTCGATTTTTTTGTATTTATCCCTGAGAAGAGTGGGGGTAAACTCTTAGAAAAAATCGGAATCATAATTGTACCAAATAACATTTTTGAAAATCAGCAAAAAAAAAAAACAAACAGAAAAAATAATGGTACAACATCAATAATAAACGTGACAATACAATACTTAGGTTCACCCCCACTCTTCTCAGGGATAAATACAAAAAAATCGATCGTACAAAAAAAAAACAGAATTGTAGGAAATTTAATTTTAAACAACTTTGTTTATAACAATTTTTCTCGTAAAATTGAAAATAAACGAGTTATTCTATAACCAAAAATTCACCCCCTATTTTCGGGTATAAATCGAAAAAAATCGATCGTACAAAAAAAAAAGCAGAATTGTAGGAAATTTAATTTTAAACAACTTTGTTTATAACAATTTTTCTCGTAAAATTGAAAATAAACGAGTTATTCTATAACCAAAAATTCACCCCCTTTTCGGGTATAAATCGAAAAAAATCGATCGTACAAAAAAAAGCAGAATTGTAGGAAATTTAATTTTAAATAACTTTTGTAAAAACTATTTTCCGTGTAAAATTGAAAATAAATGAGTTATTCAAGATACAAAAAATAACCCTTTAAATCAAGATGGCGGAGGTAACGACAACTTTGGAATCCCAACTTTTTGAATTTAGACTACCAGAGACCCCCTCCAACGAATTCCGAAGGAAAATTGCTGCTTCGAATTTTTCAGAATCTAAAATACTAATCCGATTGGGCTACCCCCCGTACTAAAATTTGGTCGTCTGCGTGAGCTTGTATCAAGTCGATGTCTGTTGTTATTTTGTCTAAGATGTCGAACCAATCCTCCATTATTAGTAACCAGAGGATTGGTCCTAGGCTTGATCCTTGAGGACATCCTCTGTCGGTCTTGTCTATAATGTCTTTAGTTTGTATTTGTCTGTCTTGTAGGAAGTTTATGCAGGTTTTGGCCAGTTTTGTCGGTAGTTTTCTTCTGCAGAGTAACGGACCATGACGAGAAATTTATTAGTTAAATAAATTTTGTAAAGTCAAAACACTTTAAAAAAAACACCGCCAAAAACTTAAATAAACTGACATTTGTGACATTTAATAAGCATTTGTGTTCAAGACCTACTGGATACAAATATAAAAAAATGTAAATCATACATTCAAAAAAATAGAAAACATTTTGAACAATTTTTGTAAAATTGTTTATCGTTCCTTTTTGTTTCTATTTTATACTGTGGTTTTTTTCGTTATTTATTTAAATAGTTATAGATTATAAAATCATTTTAAGGTAGTTCTTCAAGTTTTACTTTTTTATTCGTCTCAATAATAATAGATTACTCTATATTAATAATCAAAATGTACTTTTATAAAATAGAATAAAAAATGCAGGTCCGTATTCAAAAAAATATACTTGATGGTGGTCTTCCAGAAACGAAACGTTGTGTAAAAAAATCTGTCTACGGTAAATTAAACGCTGCTTAATACCAAATAAAAAATCTAATTACAATTTTTTCTAATATGTAAAATAAAGGCAATGTAATCGAAAATAGTCATTTGGTTTTCCTTAAATATCTTGGAAACCGGTCCTGAAGTTATCGGTTTTAAAACACCACTAAATTAGTCTTGCAAAAGTACAACTTTTTTCCAATTTAACCGACTTTGTAACTCTTACGGTTTTTGAGATAATATAAAAAGTAGTCACCCTGTATACATACTTACATAAATCTACTTTAGATAAAAGACAATTTAACTGAAATTAAAATGACTCTCTTCGCTCACAATTTTCATACAAACCTTCCGAAATGTCCTCCGACGCAACACTTGGCATGGTCGGCCCCGGCGCTGAAATTGCAATTCTTGAAACTCAACTCGTAATCCGTAAGAAAATTCGGCTTCCCATCGGGCAATACTTTCCCGTAGAGGAAATTCGGATGCATGTGGGCGACATCCGTCGACGAAATGACATCTTGGCAGGGACTGAGTTTCGGTCCCGATTCCGGCGTCTTCAGATTGCACTTTTCCGGACTGGGCGTGCCGGTGCACGTTTCGACTGGATTGAATATGTACGTCGTCAGGCAACTTTTGTCGCTGACGCCTACCCCACCCTCGCCGCACCCGTTGTCTAGGGTTGGGTCTGCCCCCGCCAGTATGGTTGGTTTTGTTTTTAGGACTAAATTAACGATTGAATTTTAGGTATTACGTAATCAGGATTTTGCAAAGTTTATGGTTATCATAAAATTCTTTTAATTATGGTAAATTAGCCGAAATTTGACTAATAAACAGAAAAAGACCGATTTATAATAAGTAGTTACCAGAGCTGGGCAGTAGTTAACTACTAAGTAGTTTAATTAGTAGTTAAACTACTTTGAAGGTAGGTGGTAGTTGTAATTAACTACTTTTTAAAATGAGTAGTTTATTTGTAGTTGGAAGTATTTCACATGAGTAGTTGGTAGTTAACTACTTTTTTCAATTACTTTAAAGATATTTAACTACTTTGGGAAATAGTTAACTACTTTTATAATAAGTAGTTAACTACTTAATAAGTAGTTAACTACTTAATAAGTAGTTTAACTACTTATTCAATTACATAATTTAAAATAAGCGTCAACTATTGAGATGCTTTTTTGTCTATTTGAATATGCGATGCGCTGCATTAGTTTGGTTATCTCCAGTGCTTCGCGATACAAAGACGTGTTGTTCGATTTATCCGTAAACAAAAGGCACGTGGGTAAATTCTGTTACGTGATTACGTCTAGTCGATTAATGGTGCGTTTTTCTTTCGACGTGGTTTTGAGAACATAAAATGGTAAGTTAATTTTGTCCGAATTTATACTAAACAAAATGAAATTAACTTATTTATAAAGGGTAGTTATTCCACGCGTGTCGATGTCTCGATTGGTTGTTATTTATTTGTCAATAATTTTTTTGTATTTTTAATGGCACAATAACGATTAATGCCATTAATTTTAACGATTTTTTTATTGTTTGATAGGTAAATGAATACCCTAAAATCGGCATTGATTTATTATTATACAGGGTGTTGCACTTTCTTTTTGAAGTGAAGTCAAGTTGCAACACTTTCTTTGTCAGTATTATTTGATTAATTATAAACGTGTTGTTTATTGCACAGGTGGACAAAAAAAGAGTTTTTTGATATAATATACTGTTTATAGAACGAGTGCGAGCGAGATGAGTGCTTAAAAAATCTGTAAATAAAAAAATATTCTTCATGTTTATTATTTGGAACTCTAAGTCTAGTCGTTTATCATCAGAAAATTTACAAAAAAGTCCGAGAAAATGAATTTAACTACTGATAATCATAAAACAACCTGTCTAATATTGATAAGAAATTGTATTACATTATTTTTTAGGATTCTGAAGAAAGAGATCGTTCTGATGAAAATATGTATTCTGACGACAGTGACGACAACACTGCTGATCCCGATTTTGATTTATCAACATATGGGAAAAGAAAACAAACAATCAAAGACTATTTTGGTTTAAACACCAACAAAAAAAAAACAATTAAAAGTGTCTTATTATAGTGACACCGACATGACAAACTTATCTCAAGCTTCAACATCTACGGTGAGCAGTGTGAGCACAATAAGTGAAGGTGGAGATCAAGATACCAGAAACAAGTTCAGCAATTCGGCATTATTTGATGGCACATTTTTTCATGTTATAACTACTACACAAAATTGTATAAAAGCTAAATGTGCATTGTGTGTTCCCCAGGAGATATTTATTAAAGGCCCTGTAACGACTACATCAAATTTTCTTAAACACTTACGATGTAAACATGGTGAGTCTTCTATTGAAAAATATAAAAGCCACAAACGTGCCTGTCAAAATAAAATTAAAGAAACTGCAGGTAAAATGACATCCATGAATCCCATGATGCCAGCCTTTAGAACAGGAAACGAAAAATTGTTACCTGCATTGATGAAAAACAAAAAAAGGATCAATGTAGAACGGTTTAATGGAAAATTTGTCAACTTTTTTGTACAGACCATGATACCTCTCTCAATTATTGAACATGAGAGTTTTAGAGAACTATTTTCTGATTTTAATGTCTCTATTATGAGTAGAAGAGTTGATGAACAGAGTCGTATAGTAACTGATAATGTGAAAAAAAATATTCAAAATTCAAAGTATGTGTGCACAACTGCTGATATTTGGTCAGCAAAAAGACGTAGTTTTTTTGGTGTTACTGGTCATTGGTTTGATAAGGATCTTAAGAGAAAATCTGCTGCTCTAGCCTGTCGTCGATTTTATGGGACGCACTCATTTGATAGGATAGCAGAAATATTAGAAGATATCCATTTGCAATACGAATTAAAAAATGAAAAAATAGTGGCCACCGTAACTGATAATGGAAGTAATTTTGTAAAATCCTTTAAAGAATTTAGTTCAACCGGCAACATTCAAGAAATTATGGCAGAAGAACGAGAAGAATACCTCGAAAAAGACATTTTTTCGTTAGATTCCGAAGAATCTGAAGAGGAAGAGGAAGTTATGCAAAAGCCTGATATCTCCTTTTTGTCTTTTGACACACAACAATTTTGCCTTCCAAAACACGTACGATGTGCAACTCATACTTTGCATTTGTTGGCTACTACTGATATAAAGAACGTGATAGATTCAAATACTGCTTTTCGTACTCGACATGAGAGAGTTCTACATAAATGTACGCTGTTATGGAAAAAGGCAGGCAAACCTAAAAGTGCAGAAATTATTCAGTCAGTGTTGGGACATACACTTAGTTATCCGTGCATTACTAGATGGAATTCTTTTTATGATGGTATAAGCCAAATACTAAAAGAAACAAATAAACTCAAAGAACTATTTGATAAATTAGATATAAAAGATTGTTTTAAAGATACTGAACTACAATATTTAGAAGGTTATTGCAGAATTCTTAAACCCCTGGCAAATACTATAGATTTCTTGCAAGGGGAGGAACATACTTATTATGGATATTTGTTACCTAGTATACTCTCTCTAAAAGTGAAATTAGAAAAATTAGAATCTGATGGAACAAATTCCCCTGTATCAATTTTGAAAAAGACGCTAATTGAGAAATTGCAAACAAGATTTGCTGATCTTTTCTCTGTTAACGAAAACTCAAAATTGGCCGTAATAGCAGCTGTATTAATACCAAGTGTAAAACTACGTTGGATTAAAATTATTGTTGATAAAGATAACATTGATGCAACGAAAAAATACATCATCGAGATGATCGTTAACGAGGGAACACAATTATTTAGTGATTTACCAGAGAATATAGCCAATACTAGTACGGTGGTAAGTTCAGCCGAAGATAATTTTTTTGACTTCGGGGAAAATCCTAAAAATGTGTGTGAAATATCTTCAAACAAGAGTTCCCTTGAGTGCTACTACCACCAAGAAGACTGATAACCTAGTTAAAACTAAGTTTGAACTTGAATTGTTGAAGTACCTGGACGACGGTAGAAACACCATTGATATATTTGAAGAATACACTCTTTTAAAGGAACTTTTTATTAAATACAATACTTGTTTGCCATCTTCAGCCGCAGTTGAAAGACTGTTTTCGTTCGCAACGTATATAAACGCTCCCCGGCGGCATGCTTTAAATGATAAGTTATTTGAACAGTTGGTGTTAATGAAAGCTAACAAAAAGAGATTTTCTTAATACTTTAATATTTTGTCCATTTTATTTTAGTTTACTTTATTCTTTTGTTAATCTTATCATTAGTGTAATAGTGTTTTTACAACAATGAATAAAATGTTGAGTTTTTGCTTCTTAAAACACTTAAATTAGTACTTATTATTTAGGGTCTGGCATGATTCGTGGCACAATGATAATTTTTCTTCATTTAGAAGTGATATTTTAAAAAGTAGTTGAAAAAGTAGTTGAAAAAAACGTTATTTAACTACTCAGTAGTTGGTAGTTTAACTACTTTTTTTATGGCGTAATTAATTACTAAGTAGTTCAACTACTTTTTAATGTAAGTAGTTAGTAGTTGATAGTTAACTACTTTTTTCAAGTAGTTTGCCCAGCTCTGGTAGTTACACCTGGATTGAGATTTTCGCGGTGCCATTACTGTTTCTTTTCTAGAGTCAGTAATGGTATAACGGAACCAATTCAATACTGGTTGATTTTCTTTATAAATATAAATAAATCGCTTTTTATTTCATTTTCAAAAATTATAATATAAAATAATAAAAAATAATTTAAATTTTCTAGGTTCCTTATTCATTCCTTATAAATAATCTAATTCTTTTGTTTAATCTCCTTAATGATTGTACAAGTATACTTCGATTTGAGGCTTTCGCAATGCCGTTTTTTGTTCTTTTGTTAGAGGCGTCCTTATAGGTCTTTAAACATAGAAAATCATAAAAATAGTTTTCTTTCATTTTGGTATAATCTTAGATTATACAAACCTTAGATGGAACATAAGACACTACGCATTATCTCACTCCGAAATTATTCACAGCCACCAATCATGTTATGTTATGTTATGTTGATAATGGGGTGTTAATACACTGCGACCTAAAAGATCTATTGTGCCCCCTTCTGTCGCCACTGCACTAAGGAAATGTCTCAATGCCTATAGCGACCCTTCCAATCCTATTTTCTCAAGGAAGTGTGGCTTCAAGTTAGGTAAGTCTCCCTCTTCTATTTGATATCCTCCTAGATATAGTGCCCTTGGATTCTGGAGTGCTACACATTCAGTTAGGATGTGAATGGAGGTTTCGTCCTCCTCCTCACAGAATCTGCACTCACTATCCTCTACTACTCTCAGTTTACTTAGGTGTCCTTTTAGTCGGCAGTGCCCGGTAAGGATCCCTGTTACAATACGTAGCCTGTTCTTGCTCAGGCAGATGCAGGCTTCCGATCTTTTTTGGTTATATTCACCCAGAAGTATCTTGGCCTGTCTCAGCCCCAAGA